CAAGATGTCAAATAACAGTTTAGGTATTGGAACTTCACAATTAGTCTCAGCTAAACTCATTCTTCAAAGTTACAAGGGCTGACACTCCCCATGGTGCACTCGACCAACAGAGTGACACACTTGGAGCGTAACCTCCGATAAGCTGGAAACAACACGTAAACTTGAGGGATGGCCCGATATGGGATGACAGCAATTTGTTTCTTCTGGTCCTCTGAACTTTGTTTATTAATTATCATGGAGCTGTGCTTGGATTAAAACAGTCACAAGAGTAAAATTTTGACATTACCATTTGCCTTTTTTTATATGTGCATTCATACCTTAATATAGTCTTCCTTTTAAAATCTTGTACTTGAAAATTAAAAAAAAAAAGTCTCCTGAGAGTCAGGAAGATCTCAGAGAACAAGTCATCCTTGAATTACAGAAGCCAGTGAGACCTATATCGTGAGAGGGAAGTAGGTCAGAGCACGCTGACTGAGGCCTTGCACAGCCTCTTGGCATCATCTTCAGCCAGTTAGAATCACTTATGCACACCCTCCACCTTGTTTTCTGGACTCACTGGCATATCCTGAAGTAGCCTAATGGTTTAGAAGAGTGTGAAAATAGCAAAACTCAGCAAGTGCTGGTATCCCCAGGCATCTGCTAGTGGAAGATAATCACAAGCAGAGAGACACCCTTTGAGGTAGAAGCTACAACATGTTGGTATCTGGGTAGTTGGCATGGACACAAAAATGGAAGAACTTTGGCTTCTGGGCCCTTGGGAGAAAATGTTTATCTCCCTCTGCCGTGACCCACCCTGCCACTAGCTTCCTGAAGAAGAAGCAAACTGCACATTGTGGAGGCTTCTGGAATTGCACAACGAAACTGCACAGGGAAGGGCAGCAGGTCCTTTTTCAGGGTTAAGATGGCACCTTGTGTCTTAAAGAAGCTAATGCCTCTAAGAACATACTAATGACATGTGGGGCCAACTGTCATTAAGAATGGTGATAGGAGCCAGACAGATGACTCTAGGCGAAGGGGCTTGCCCTGCAAGCCTGGTGTCTTGAGTTTAAATCTCCAGAGCCCACATAAAAAGCCAGATCAGTATCAAGCATCTGAAACTCCACCATTCCTACAAGACAGGAAGAGGAGACAAGGCTAGTCAGCTGGAAGCTCTCGGGCCAGCTAGCCCCGCATATGCGGTGCAGACACCCAAGCAAGAGAAACCCTGCCTCAAATGAGGCTGAAGGTGAGAACAGACTCCCAGAAATTGTTATCTGACCTACACACACACTGGAAAAAAAATTAAAGAATAAGAAGATATCATTTCTGCCCAGAGAATGGCAGTCTGGGAACGTTGGAGTTTAATGAGTATGTTTTGAGCTAACATCTGGTGGTCTGTGCACCAGCCAGAAGACATCAGCACAGTAAGGAACAAAGTCTGAGTTCATCCCTGTCTTTCCTACAGAACGCTTCTGCAGTGTCTTATTATATTTTTTTACTAGCAATTATTTTAAGCATATTCTGCGTCTCTTCCTCTCCCCATGCAACATGAAATAATAAGTCATTACTCAGAGGGTTTTTCACCTAAAATTTCATCCTCTAGGATGTAGCAGTGAAGATTCAGGTCAACCGTGAGCTCACCCTCATTTTTTACTTAAGAAGGGTGGATGCCAGTAGTTATTATATGAGCTGTAGAATGTATCAGCAAACAGACATTTGATTCCCATTAGTGTGGACAGACAGTCAGGAAAGGCCTCACTGTTGTTCTTAGAAGAATGAGCTGAGTCCTGAAATCCATGCCAATTACCATCCTTGTCCCATTGATGGTGAGCTTCCCCTAGAGCTACAGCCTACACACAGCTGACTGTGAGTCCCCCAGCGTAGAGCCACAGCCTACACACAACACAGAGAAGCTAACCGAGGCTCAAAATGTTGTCTGCAAGTTAAAGCTAAAGCAAACTCGAGCCCGTGTATAGACTCTAAATTAATTGGAACAGTATACCAACCCATCTGGAGTCCTTAACTGTCTGTCCACAAATAAAGAATTTTTTTCATTTCAGAATCTATCCAAAGTAGGCCAAAGTCGTTTTGCAGATTAGGCTTCAGCCCACCACTTAAAGAGCAGTCTATTTCTTTCGTTTTCACACAACAGTTTTCCAAAATTTGAGTTTCAGAGTAAGAACTAAACGTGTTGCTCTTCTGCAGGTAAATAGCTCATGGTTACTAAGAAAGGTCCTTAGGTGCCTGGGCATGTCTCAGGCTACCCAGCTCCTACCCAACAGACTGGCTTATTCTACACCATTCCAGAGAAGTGTCTTTCTAAAATAGATATTATTACTTGGGTTTGAATATCACTGGTCCAATTAAATGACTCCCCCTTCTCTATAGCAACCGCATTCCTAGACCAAAATTTTGTAGAGACACATGAAGTGATGTAATAGTAGTCAATTCCATTTTGCTAGATTTTTATTCTACATATCAGAATTATATAGGAATTTTAGATCATATATACTGCTTTATGTTTTATTTACATAGTTGCCATCTCAGTTTACTCTTATATTTTATGTTAAGAAAAAAAAAGTTTTTCAAAGAAAAAAACCACAGTTCTCAAGACAGAAATATACATTTCCATTTTATTACAAATAAAATCTGATTCAATTTCTATTTACCTGAGTAAATCTAATATACAGAGTAACGCTGGATTTGTGCCCTTGCAGGTAAATGGTTATATATAATAATCTTTATGTCCATCACAGTGAGATGACCACTGTTGCTCAGTAGAGTGTGTCCAGTCAGGATGAGCCTGGCAGCCGCATCTGTAGATGTGGGGCATGTTCAGAAGTAAATGAGTTATGTTCAAAGACATTAATGCAATGTATTTGTGGCTAAATCTGAAAACAAAAATCATAAATTTCATATAGAAAACACAAGGTTGACCCTTCATAACCTTGGACTAGGTGGAAGACTCTAAGTTGCAATCCCCAAAGTATGAGCAACAAAAGGAAAATTAAATAAATGTAATAAAATGTAAGAGTTCTATGCATCAGAGAACATTATCAGTAATAAGAAAAAGACTAGAAAATGGAGATTTATTGGCAGACCATATACCTGAAATAGTTGGGGTATAGAACTAACTGTATGAGGAACCTTTCACCACAATAACAAAAAGGTGGGCAATTACATTAAAATGAATTACTCAAGTAGGTATTTCTTCAAGCCGTCTCCCATAGGCAAATGCAAATAAAAAGCACAAGGCGCTACCACTTGGCTCACACAAAGACAGCCTGTGTGGTGAATTGAATCAATTCAAATCAAGTCAAATTGATTCAAAATCAATTGAGAATAACAAGTGCTGGCGGGGAAATGCTCTGCTACAGGAAACAGTCTGAGTGCTTCTCAAAACCATAGTTAGGGAAGACCCCACGTTCTACCTCTGGGTATGTACAGAAGAGGATTTCAAGCAGGAGCTTTGTATGTTCCAGTAGATGCATGTCAATAGCAGTGTGGCTCACAAAATATATACACCTATTGGCAAGTGGATGCATGAAATACCTTTTTATATATCCTATAGTATTCATCCATAAAAATGAATGGAAGCGTGTTAAAATAACTTTATTCACCTGATGGGATTGCCATCTCCAGGGCTCACTGCCTCTGTGTGCTAACCTAGTCCGTGAAGATTCTGGCCTTTGTAAATCTTATCTAGGCCTAGAATGTTTTCAGCCTGTGAGACTTACTGCTGAGTGAGTTCACTCTTTCTTATTCTTTCTGATCTTTGGCTGGATGGTCAACTCAGCTATTCCTCAAACTCCTCTCTGATCTTACTGACTCAATCTGGCTTCTCTCTTGGCCTGACTGAATTGCTCTGCTTGGCCTCATTTGGCATTTTGACAATCTGTTCTAATCTTCTGGCTCCTTGTTCATTGCTCATTGCTGTCTTCCTGTGTCTAGCTTTGCTCTCTGCACCTTGTCTCTATAAGACTCTCCAGGCAAAACTGCCTTCTCTATCTCTGCCCTGCCCCTCCAGTAGCTTCCCTTTCCTCTCTCTTCTTGTGAAGAGTTGGGCATATTCCGTTCCGTCTATTCTTTCTCTGATACGTTACTTTGTCACTCTTAGACATCACTTTCAAACATGGCTGCTTCCTTCTACAAACTACCTTTGCATTCATTGTTTGGGATTTAAAATGTGTACTAAGGACATGTCTGTATTCCAGCCAGAGGGATTAAAGGTGTGTGCTAAGGTTGAGTCACACCACAACTAGAAACAGATTTTTCCAGTAAACAATACAATCTCAGAGTTCACAGTGTGAACAAATACCCTGTAACACTAGCACATACCTAGAATCCTAACACACAAAATTTTTAGTTAGGAGAATTGTGAGTTCTAGGCCGGAGTAGACTGTAGAGGGAGACCTTGCCAAAGAAAGAAGAGAAAAAAGGAGGATGGGGGTGGAAAAAGAGAAGGAAGAGATGGATGCTGTTTGAATACCAGGTCCAACAAAAAAGTACTTTCAATGTGGCATTCTAACTGAAGAAGGCACACTCAAAAGCTCACATATTGTGTGGCTCCATGTATATAAGATATGCAAAATAAAAAGGTCTGAGAACACAAATGGAAGTTAGTGGCTATTAGGGGCTTAAGGGACAGTGGAGAGGGTCTTAGGAGTAGCTACTTAAATAGAGGCTTTACATTTGCGTGATGGAAAGGTGTCTCACCTGGGTGGAGGTGGTGGTTGTATGACACCGTAACCGCACTCCAAGCTTTTTGTTTCTGAACGTTCGTTTTGTATTATGTGAATTATCACATCAATAAAACATATCAAAACTTCAATAATGAAAAACAACTCCAATTGTCAACTGTGTTCCCAGAATGTGGGTGAGCGCATTCATGCAAATGTTTCCCATGAGAGTAACTGGAGATCCACGTGGGGACTTGCCTCTGCATCATGAGTAATCAATCAGTAATAGATGTAGATTGTGTGTTCAGCTTTGGAACTCATTGATATTTCTTGTCTTTTCAGGACTCGCAACTTGTATCCTCTGGACACAGTAATCCAAGTAAGAATTTCTCTGCTCCTTTCTGATGTCTCTCTATCACTTTCTGAGTTGGGGGAGAGGAACATGAACAGTAGATTTCAGAGAAGCACCCAGGGTACAGACTGAATTGAGAAGGAGAGCAGACATTCCAGAGGCTCGGCCTAAACAGGCAATAAGATAGCTCTGAGTGTGGATGTTTCGAGAAGAGGTGGCCAAAAATATAGAATAGTGCATTTCAAAGAGATCCTAAAAGAAAGAATATCAAGCTCTGCTGGTCCTTAGTCTACACGAGAGAAACAAATCAAATGGCAAGTAACAAGATGTCTGAATTAGAAGAAAATGAATAGGCAAAGAAATCCAACCAGAAGGCTTCACAATAAATGACCTTAGACTCTATGAAGGAAGTACATGCTTGCTAAATATACTGTGCCTTCTTCCAGAAATAGGCAGACTAGACTGGACAGGAAGTAGTCTCCTTGTTGAACCAGTGGCTAATGAAGCACATTGAGCTCAGCCATCAAAGCCAGGATCACTCTATGAAAGAGAGTTTTAATTCTCTTCCTTGGCCTACAGATCGGTATTAATGTTGTCTGAGACATTAAAAATGCATAAGCTGCCCTGTTTGTGTCCTTAAAGCAAACTCATAAGGACTGACTGGGCTGTGTATGTTTCTTGAGCAGCCAGTGAGCTGTGAACAGCCTTTGCTACTTACAAAGTTCCGTAGGAAGATAAAAATCACTTGGAGCTTCTAAGTGTGTCTGTGAAACTGAGACTCATCCGCTGAACATCTGTGAGGCAGGAGAGCTTGAGAGAAAAGATGTCCATACATTGTACTGGGAAGCACCATAAAATTCATGCACAGGTAGAAAAAGGTCGCTTAGGGAAACATTGGCACCACGGCACATAATATCATATTCTACCCTCTGTAGGGCTTTCTGGGACACAGGCATCTGTGGGGACTAGTAAGGCTTCTCCTGTGACAAATTACTCAATGTTTAATAAGCTTCTGTTTTATAATATTAGGATGCTAAATATGCCACTGTATAGTCACATTTGAAAACACATGGTGTATGTCTGTGTTTTATAAGTTAAGAGCATGTCTGTTCAGATAGCAAATTGCTCTTAAGTACTTCCTCCCCTCCCCTTTGGAATCCTTATTCAATGATCATGATGCTATAGAAACTAAGTCAGCACCAGCCCTGAGTACAGGAAAGAATGATACCTTGTGAACAGAAAGATGGGCCCCTACTGACAAACAACCTGAGCAGCCAAATTATAACTCACACAGAAAAAGGATCAACAGAGAGGATATGCCAGAATAGGGAAAGAGCCCTTGGGAGCCCCTGGGTGGGCTGTAGGTCTCCATGGAAACACAACGGAACAGACGTGTTGGTTATGATGGACACCTGGACTATTCCACACGAGTCATCCTAAGGTTCCTATCTGAGCTAGTCACACATAAAACTTCCCATTTCATTTTCCTTTTGAAAAGCTCAGAAAACCCAAACCACAGCTTTAAAGATGAGCAGCTGGCTCGCTCTCCCAGAGATAAACAGAGTGGACTGTAAGATGATGCCAGATCCAAGAAGTGGGATTAATCTGGTGATGGGAAGGGGGCATCTTTTCTCCACAAGATGATTAACCAAAAATTCTGCACAACTAAAGTATCTCTACTTTTCTTAGGTAACAAAAAGGGGTACTGGGCTTGCCTGCAGGTCCCTCTTCTCTTGTGAAGTTCTAGGCAACTTGTACATCAGCCCTTCATTCCACACAAAGCACAGGTGTTCTAGAAAGCTCCATCAGTGTTCTGATGAAGAAATGGACACCTTCCTAGAGTTGATCACTCTCTTGCTCAAAACAGTGAACAGCAGTGAGTGCCACGAGGAGCCATGGCCTCGGAGATCTGTGTCATTCAAACCAAAAGAAATCAGAGGTGCAAGTGTAGCAGTCTGCAGGAAGACCTGTGAGCACCATGTCCATTGAAAAGAGCCAGCAGATTACTGTGAAAAACGGGTGGTTGCTGAATAAACAACCTTGAGAGTTAAAAATATAATCAGTAAAGCATTTGGGAACTGGTAAACCAATAAGAAGGGGTTGCAGCCCCAAATCTGGCATATACAATCAAATCCCTCATTGTTTTTCTGATGCACAAATGGGAAAAATCAAAGAAAGCTAAGAAAAACAAAACTTCAGAAATTCAACACCAAGGCCCAGTTGATAGGGAACACTGGAAAAAAGGTTGAAAAATACACCTCAAACTAAATAGCACCCCCCCCCCAAAAATAGCGATACACAATTTAAAAAACGCTTTATGTAAACAGGAAAAAAGAGACTGTACACAGATTGAGTAAAAACAGAATTCTGACATTAGAATTACAAAGGCTATAAGGTGAGCTAACTTACAGACATAGAAGAAAAGATGGAAGGTAGGGGAGAGAGCAAAAGAAGAAATGTTAAGAAACATTTCTACAAACAAAAAAATAGAAATGAAAATTTCCTTGGGCAGGTTTATATCAGACTGAAAATTGTTGAGAAAAAAATACTAATGAATCAGAACTCTTGGGACTGGAGAAATGGCTCAGTGGTTAAGAGCATTGGCTGCTCTTCCAGAGGTCCTGAGTTCAATTCCCAGCAACCGCATAGTGGCTCACAATTTTCTATAATGGGATCTTAGGCCCTCTTCTGTCATGTAGGCATATATGCAGATAGAGCTCTCATAAACATAAATAAATGAATCTTGAGAAAAGAGAAAAGTGAACATAAAAAATTATGAAGAATGCAACCTAGGAAAGCCAAAAGCAGACCATGGAAGTTAAGAAGCCCAGGGACAAAAATAAAAATAAAATAAAATAAAATAAAATTCCCAGGGACAAGGCAGGGAAGTTTACCACACACCTGACTGGAATTCACAAAATTGTGATGGATGGGTGAAAGCCATGGCAGCTGAGAACTATCCAGATGGAATGGTAACCCAAAGGTACATGAGGAGGTAAACGGAAAGAAGCCCAAATGTGCAGACATGGAGGAGGAAAAGGTTTAAGTACCCTTTAATAAATTTTGTTTATATGAAAGAAACACCCAAGGTGATCTCAAAAGTGCATCTGTGGAAGTCAGCAAACAGTAGATAGACAGCTACAGTTAGCTGAGGGAACTTACTATCAACTGAGAATCTAGGAGTGTATAGAGATGGCCTCACAGTTAAGGCTGGGTACCACACCTGCAGATACCAGAGGTCCTTTCCAGTTCACAGCCCATGGAATCCCAGACCCCGGACAATCAGCACCCTCCTGGCTCCCTTGTGTGGCTATTCACAAATATTTCAATTAAATATTTTATTTAAAAAACCTATGTAACTAAAGACAAAACTGGATGAAATTAGTGTTATCATAATATATGTTTATAATTGTCTAACTTTAGAAATTACATATTTTATATAAAAAAATTTTTATACACCTAGCCTGAGCAGTCCTACCTACAACTATTTATTTAAAAAATGGCTCAGTCATTTTTTTTTAAATAAAATCATTTTGCACATGGTAAAGCTCGTTGCGTTCTACCGAGAATTCCACCGAACACAGGAAGAAGTAGTTTTGAGCTAGCACCCACTTTTGGAGAGCCTCGGAGGAAGGACAGCTGTTCCCCACTTGCTAGGGCCAGCATAATTGTGGTATCGAAACTTTACAAGATCCGTACAAGAAAGAAAATTTATAAACCAATTTCTTAATGGTCCCAGGACACAAGCATCCTAAGACTGTGTTTGCTAATTAAATCTAGCAAAGTATAAGATACATTTCAAAGTGTAATAATTAAGAAGTCCTATTTGTCCTAGTAATTCAAAATCAGATTCTGTTCAAATATGAATGTAATTCACCGTAGTAATTATGAAAATATGTTTAATCTAAGACATTGAGAAAATACTTGATAAAATTCAGTATATGTAATTAAGGAGAAAAATGTCAATTAAGTTGGGAATGGAAGACCAACTCATTCCCAGAAACAGTTGCCCAAGGGTGAAAGGAAGAATCTTATCAGATTCTGTTCAAGTGCTTCTCTCACCCTCTAAAGCTTAAGCAACAGGGCCAGTTCAAATGGACCCAGCAGGATAGAATCCTTCATCACAGCTGTAAACTAAGAAAATGGAAAAGTGTTCATTAGGGTGGAAATCCCAGAACTTGTTTCCCCAGAGTGATGTGATCATCGATATATTGATAGAACACTGGAAACCCCCGCAGGTGAATTATTAGAATTAATGAGAAGTTTTAACAGACTCTTGAGAAATATACAAACGACCTAGCGTCAGGCACGGGCATTAGAAGGTACAGGTTAGCGTCTTTCACACATTGAACTGTAGATTCAGTACAATGCCAGTCAAAGTTCAAACTTCCATATATATGGAAGTTGGCAAGCTGGGCCTCAAATTTATACAATAGAGCAAAAGATGAGCGTGGTAAGTCTTTACATGAAGAACAAAGTTTGAACCTTGCCGTATCAGTATTGAAAACAAAGCCATGTAATGAAAGTAACAGGGGAAAGTAGGTGACAGACCAGGAGTCCCCGGAAACTGGAGTCCCACTAAAGCTAATACTGTGGGTCAGTGTGGAGAAGCAGGAGTCTACGGCCAAATACTTGGAATGAGAAGCAATGAAATTACCTCTGCACCATGTATAAAAATTACCTCAAGTATTTTTAAGAGGCTAGTAAAGCTATGTGCTTTTAGAAGGTAGTAATGAGGTTTCTTGTCTGTATCCTCAGTAAACATGAGAACGTCAAAGGAAACTATTGACTGAGATCATATTTTTTGAAAGTTAAAAACATAATTCAGTCAAATATACCAGGACGGAAGTAAAAGGCTTACACCAGGATGTTTTATCTTATTATTTTAGGCTTATAGTGGTGTTTAAAAATTCACCGTTTGTATTGGGACAATGAATCACTGCGCTGAATACAAACTGAACGTTAGGGAATGACACAGAGGAGTCTGCTAACAGTTTGCATCCCATTAGTTCTCAGAGACGTGCAGG